AATTTCACAATTAAGGGGAGATTTAACAGCCTATAGAGATAACAGATTTATACTAAAGTGTAAACAACTGTTACAAAGCCTTTCGGGGAAGAGGTTTTGATGGGAATGGTGGGCTGGAGAGAGAGTGGTAGATACTGGGCTTTATAAGATGCATATGCCTGTGATGGTCAGAGCTGAAGGCATCTTATAGCTCAGCTCCTTCTTGTTTCAAATTAGGAATCTAAGCCTCTGACATGACGGTGCCCTTGAAAGCAAGGTGGACTACGAGCCAGAAGGCAAAGACCAGACTCCTGGCCCTGCCATTTTCTAGTTTTGTGACCTTGGGAATAAAGCTACATCACCACTCTGAGCCTCAGTTTCCTCATCTGTAAAATGGGGACAGATGGTTGTGAGGGTCAAATGACACACCATGAGTGAAAGTGCTTCATAAATTCTAAAGCAATGGTGAATGTCATGGGCCAGTGTCAGTGATCCCAATAAAAGCAGTATCACCTTCCACCAGCACCCAGGGCCTGTCTGGGTCCCACTGCACTGCCTTATACCGACCCAATAGGACTCAGTGTGGCCCACTGTAGCCAGTTCCCTGTCTATCTGCCTCTAGGCTAAGTCGCTGTCCACTCTTGGACCTCCAGGGCCCAGCAGAGGGTCTGGTGCAGAACAGCGGCTCAGGAAATGCTGGTTGAATCACAGTGATGTGGCCACAGGCCCACAGTAAGTGGCGGCCCAAGCACGAGCTACTTCAGAAGTAGTGTCAGGGCTGAAAGCTTGCTATAACTACCCCTTGTATAACACAAGGTCTGTTCATTACTAGTCATGGAAATTGAGACTCCATCTCCCTACCCAGAACACAGAAAAGCATTTAATAGCTAGGTGTCAGAAGAACACACAGACGTAGCAACGTGTGCATGAACTTGACCAGAGACGGGTTCTCCCCGACTTCCTCCTGGGGCTCGCGGGTACTTCCACGTATATTGCATCATTTGATCTTCTGAAGGCCTCTGGGAGGGGCTCATATCTCCATATTACAGATGGAAAGAAGGCTGGCATAGGTTGGGAGGGTGCTTAGAAGCCCGAGTCAGACCAGTGCTTTCCACGGGGCCTTCACTGGCCCCAGGAAGTCAATGACCACTTCGACCTTTTCAGCAAAAGGGAACACTGTACTCTTAACATGGAGAGCCCATGGTTTTCTTTAAAATCCCTGTCCATTATAATCCCTCCAGAATGATTTGTTTCTCATTAGAAACATCCCATCATTGCAGTGGTGATTAATGTCCCTAGTCTTGAATCTGAAACATTTCAACTTTTGATCTGAAGTCATGCTATTCTAGAAAGAAATGAGATTTCCTCCTCCCCCGGGGTTGACTACATAGACCCAGCATTCAGTGGGTGAAAACAATGATTTGCATTGTCTTCTGGAAAGAGCTAGTATCCCAGGGGGAAGGAAGCTGTAAGCCATTTCTCAAACGTACCAGAGCCGTAGTAATGCCCCAGGCAGGGAGGGACCGTGAAGCATGTCTCTCTTAGGAGACCCTGGTTAGGGCTTGGCCATGTGCCGAGGTCAGGACGGCATGGAGGGGGCTCCATCTTCTCTGGGAGCCTGTCTTGCCTCACCTGGGCCAGTGCCGAGGAGCCCCGCGTGCACGAGCATCCTCGCCCAGCAGCCAGCACCGCTTAGCCCGGCACACTTGCTGCAGCGTTTTCCTCCCAGGAACAAGAAACGAGGCAACTGCTTAAATTAAAAAACTTCCACAGACACAATGCCACTCTGATAGTGTTCACCCTTTTACCTAATCTCCTTTTGGCAACTTCTCCGTTGCCTTCAAAGCCTGACACGTGGTTCGGAGGCTGCTTACAGGGAAGGAGCCCACGGCGATGGTTTAAAATGCAGCGCACCCCACCTGTGCAACAGCGGCACCACCTGCAAGCTGGACAGCAAAGACGCACACAGACCACAGAGCAAGTCCAGTCTGAACCATAGAAAACGTCGGGGAAGGTCCACCTTGCAGAATCCACTTACGCTGGCCCAGTCACTCAGGGAGTGAGGACACGCGGCTCCACGGGGAACCGAATTCTTCTCACTTGCCTGTGGAAGGCAGAGAGGGAAAAACGACGGGCCAGTATGGGGGAAAGGGCGCCCAGGATGGCGGTGGGAAGGAGGGCAGTGAGGTGGACAGTTGGAGTGGGCTCTCTCGCTGACGTCTATGCAGGCTCCCCCCACCCCCGTTTGCTCGCAGTCCACCATGCACACACACAAAGACTTCCAGTTCGCATCCCTGCAGCCCTCTCTGCTCGGGAGGACAAACCTTCCCCCGGGCTCGGGCTCTGGCCAGGCGCCCATGCTGAGCTCTCTTCACAATGGCTCGGCGCACACTGATCAGATGCCAGCAGATGCCAGCCCTGAAGAGCAGCCAAGGTGTCGGGGAGGCCTCTCCATTGATCCCTCTTGTTCTGACTGCCAGGGATGGCTGATCGAGCTGGCTGTGGCAAAAGTGGGCACTGTGACTCCCAACACTTGACTGTGCTGGAAGCTGGGCATGGCGGATAAAAGAGGAAGCCCAGAACAAAAGGCTCTGTCTCGCCTGGACGGCACTCTCAGGGGCTGTGTGTGCTGAGTTTGCAGGACAGCGTGCCAGCGTCCTCAGCTGGGGAGGGACCCCAAACAACAGAGGGGGGAAGGCTCCCAGGCTGAGTGAGCCACATACTATGTGAGCACCAGGTCCTGGGCAGGGCTGTGCTGAGCTTGCCATGTACTAGTCCTGCTCATCCTTTGGTGTTTTGCTGCTCCTTGGACCAAGAAGTTCATTATACTTAAGAAAACAAAAGTGTCCCCCTAGTCCTCAAAACCAGAATGGTTAGGCTGAAGAAACCCAGGCCCTGACTGGCCAATGACCATCTGCAGGGTACCCTTGGCTCCAAGGCACCATCACTGGAACTTCCCCAAGCCCTTCTGGCTGTTTCTACCATATGGCCTGAGCACTGAATTGGGTTCTAGGAGCTTGGACTCTGCCAGAGGAGTGTGGGCAGGTCACTTAGCTGCCCTGAGCCTCTGTTTCCTCTTCTGTACAACAGGGATGACAACCCTGGCTAGAGAGGACCAGTGACGTGAGGCACAGCCATATACCCCAACGAGGAAACCAGTGCCAGGCACCCCCAACCTGGGATGGGCACGAGTGACCACTCCTGTCCACTGCCTCCTGCCCCAGGACACCTGTGGCCACAGGCATCAACAATAGCATAGGCTGCATTTAGAGTGTGACTGCTCAAACTCTGCTAGTTTCCCAGCTATAATGACAACTTTCTTCCAATTCACACCTGGGCATTTGGCATCCAAACGACATTATTCTGCCTGTTACTGTGTTGGGGAGTTTCCCCCTCCATGTCTGCTGGACTGTCTGTAACCACTTAGGCATAAAACAATCATCAATTCTTTAGGGAATTCTGACATAGAACATTTACAAACGTTCTGCTTACGGATCAGAAGTAAACTGTTGATGTGGACAGCTCACCTACATTTCCCTGGGCTAGGACTGGTGACCTTTCTCCAGTGGGGTCTGGATGTACTTGGACAGGAGACAACATTTCTCCGCATCATTCTATAAAAGACTGGGAAGCCCTACTGCTAACCCAGGTTAAATCAGATCGGAATGCGCAGTCCTGGGGACTATGCCCTGCAGCAGTGTGAGCAGTGGGTGGTGGATTTTAGGCAGTGAAACTGGCTTAGTTGTCAAAGTGCTTAGTCACATATATTAGTCCCTTGAAACCTCTGAGCATCTCTGAGAAACGGGCAGGGCCAGCATTCACGATTCCCATTTCAGAGATAAAGAGACGGAGGGTCAGAGAGGTTAAGACACGTAAGTGGCGACTCAGAGCTGCAAATCAGCCCCTCAGTCCCACACCATCCCAGGTTCTCAAGGCTCAAAGCACATTATCAGTTTTCCGAGAGCCTTGAAGTTTCTGTCCAGTATAGGATTCATCCTGGCAGCTCCGTACTAAGCTTTATTAACACCTGAGTTACTGTGTGACATCCTTGTTTATTTTGGGGAAAACGGACTGATGGCCTCAGTTCTACGGCTTTGGTCAGATGTTTGGATCAGGGAGTAAATAGTTTTTGGTCTTCCTCAAATTTACTATTACATAGAAGTGGCAATTTAGCACAGCCATGCAAACTGGGAGAAATTTGGCTTTTTTTTGTACTCAAAGTGTTTGGAAAGGTTTGTGTTCTGACGTGGGTTGGTAGAGGAGGTGGTGGCATTTCTGCAGGAGTCAGATTCTGATAAGTTTTGCTTTCCAGTGGACAAACCACTCTTCCTTCCATAAAGCGGAGGAAGAAACAAAAATATCTGCTTGAGCCATGTTGCCAGATTTTCAGAGCAAAGCCAACATTCACATTTTCAGGTGAAATGCTCCCATTTTTAAATGTTAGCAACTAATTTCAAAATGCTTAAGATATCGTGCAGGCTGAGCAAAACACAATGGGTCCCGGTCACCAGTTTGTAACCCCTGAGTGAAGAGCTATCAGGACAAGCAAGCAGGGAGTTTTCCAGCTGCTAAGACCGTGAGGGAACACGCACATACACATGCACGCGCTATGCTTTCCTTAGACGTTGCATAGCTCTCGTGAAAAGGGGCCTGGAAGGGGATGGAAGTGATGATTAACCCAAGTGCCCCTCTGTGTCTGTCTGGGCCAAGCCCACAGCAGGATGCTGGAGCCCTGCCAGACGCTCCGCGCTCTGGAGTGCCGCGTCCTGCTTAGGGCTGCATTCGGTTTCCTTCCGGACACACGTGAAATGACGCAAGAAGGCTCCCAGCGGGACCCAAGGGGCAAAAGCAGCAGGGAAGGAAGCCCAGGGGGGTGACGGGCATGTGCAGCGTGTGGAAAGAAAGTGCATTTGTCTGGGTGGACTGCGCCTGCCTCGTGAACTGGGGCCCATCACTGAGTTGCTGAAGCTCGAAGCCCTGCGCTGCGGTGGCGGATGGCAATGCCAGTGCGCTGTTCTCACCTTAGACCAGTCCCCCGTTTTCCACTCGTAGCAGCCTGAGTAGTCCTCGCATGCCTCCTCGGCTCTCGGCCTCGTGGACGCGTCGCATTTCCCTTGGGAGTTGGTGCACGTCACGGTCCGTTTCCGGGTCCCTTTACCACAGTTGGCAGAACACTGCAAGACACCGTTGGGATATTTAATCCAGTCCAATTTGGTTCCAGTCCATGAACACCTACGAAGTCCCTACTGTGTGCCACACCTGGTGCAGGGATGCAAACGTGAGGACCTCCAAAAGCTCAGTCTGCAGAGTCTTACGTGTCTGAGAGGCCAGTGTCAGGGAGGGACACAAGAGTCAGGATTTGGAAGAACCTGGGGTACCCAGAAGGTCAAATGAGGGGAGTGTAATTCAGTGGCTGCCTTAGGTCCAAAAGACCAGTGCAATGCAGGAGTTCAAAGGGCAATTACCGGGGGGAGTCACGAGTAGAGTGAAGGACAGGGGACAGCTGGAGTAAGGTGAGGCCCCCAGAGCAGAAGGCTGAGGCCCTGGCACCTCCCACCGGCCTTGCCTGGGCCAGCCTGGGGCACAGGCCCGATCCAGGGTGGAGGAGGGGGAGAGAGACAGAAAGCAAAGCCACAGGTAACCTTCTGACAAGGCAAGGGGCAAGCCTCCCAGAGAACGCCAGGGAATGTTTTCAGGTGGCCACCAAGAATGGTAGCAGAGGAATGCTCCAGTGTGCGTTTACTTGCTTCCTGGGAGACCTGGCAAGGGGCAGTGGGGAGGGAACCCCAGTGGGGCCAGAGAGCTGAGGAATGATGTGCGAGCCTTCGAGAGTTCAGCATTCCCATGCCCCCAGGCAGCACAAGGGGGCCACGAGAGACAGCAGGACATAAGCATGGCGGCACTCTGCCAGGCGTCTGGAGCCCGCTCCTGGCACACTCTACAGGGGGGTTCGGGGAGGGATGGTGCCTGGGCCGGCAAGAGCGCTTCCCATCTCCAAACCAAAGGAGAAGGAAGCCCGGGCAGAGCTGACGTGTGGCCCTGGGGAGGGCAAACTGACAAGTGTCTAGGAGCTAGCCCAGGGAGCCCTCCCTCTGACTTGCTGTGTGCGGACCAGCGTGTGACTTCCCTGCGAGGCCCTGTCCCCACTGTGGATGTAAACGTGTAACTCTGTGGGCTGAAGGCTGGATTCTGCCAAGGAGACTTCGTACTTGCTCAGTTTACCAAAAATACGGCAGGTGACAGCAGTGTCTCAGAGTTACAACAAACTCAACTTTTAAAAAACATTCCACTGTGTCCGCTGAAAAAAAGGTCCACAAAGGACAAATGTTATTCTCGATATTTCTGTCCTTAACATTTAGCCCACAATAGTATCTCGCTTTCTCTTTCCTATGAATTCATCTCAGCTCTCCGTCTGAATGTCCTGGGGGATTTTCTTTCAAGACTAATCTAGACTGGTTTGTGTCAGAAGAAATACACACGCTTCAGAAACGGTTGATGTTCCCTGGGGGAGTCGGGAGAGCAGGCGTATTACATCCTGCGGGTGGGGTGAGGGGCTGCTTTAAAGGGACCTTATCTGCTCGACTCTGCTCCTTTGCCTTGCACTTCAAGCACTGAATGTCCCGTCCATTTCTCCAGCAGTCCTAGGCTCAGCCCCCTCTGACCAGCACCCCATTCGCAGGTAGCCTTTGTCCTTGGGGAAGGGCAGTTCCTGGCTGACACCACCTCCAAAGGGACCCAGGAGGGGCGGTGTTGGGTTCTCCCTTTGCTCCCCATCAGGGATGGGGCCTGGAAGCTGAGGGCAGGAGGGACTCCCCACCTTCTGCTTCCTTCTGGATATTTGATCCTCCTCCTAATAAAGTCAGGAAGCAGCTGGGGTGTAGGGAGTGTGCGATCAACACTGCTGGCTGAACAAAAGCCATCAATAAAAAGCTGCCCATGAGGAATAAAACCTATTTGCTTCCAGCAGAAGAAAGGCTCTTCCCCTTCAGCACATGGGGAAGCAGCAGAAATGCCAGTTTCGTGAGCTTCTCACGGTGGAATGGTTTGATTCCCAGTTAAATGTTTAGAAGGACGCCTTTTGCTCAAGCCAGTGGCTAAACCAGCACTACTCTGATTGGTGTGGATACCAGTTCAAGATTAGGATTAAGTATACACAGAGATAACAAACATGCAGAAATTTCTTTAAAGCTTGCTCCAATCATCTCACATTTTCCAAACGTTGTGATCATCAGTGTCATAATGATACGTGATGACGTCAGGCTTGGTAGGAGGCGTTTTTCTCCCATAAGAGCATCAAGTGGAAAATGTACGGTTTTGATGTGGTTAAAGCATGAATCTTGTTTAGACCAAGAATCAGGTCATCGAGGCCTACGGCTCACCTGGGAAGGGGAAAGGGAAGGGACTCATGCCAGTCTCTACCCTTCTAGGGGAAAAAAAAAAGTCCCTTGAATGTTAAACTCACAAACCTAAGTACATATAGAGAAAAAAAAAAACAAAAAACAAATTTTAAAACTCTCTTCCTAAAATATCATAAATGGTAAAGACTTGGGTCTTTAAATGAGTACATGTCAAGATCTTTCTGAAAATTAAACTCAGTTTTAGAGCAACCAATGGCAGAATTTTTGTTCATTAAAAATGGGCTGACTAATTTTTTATTCAAAATAATTCCAACTGTTTGGCAATAAAAGGGAACTTCAAAAATATTTTCCACATTGGAGAGTGTCTTGGATTGAGCCTCTTCGAGCTTCCCTGGACTACGGTGGGTGTTCCACCCTGGGGGAAGCCTGCCCTGTACTCAGCTGTTTTTTATTGCTTTATAGCCAACCAAGATCAATATCGATGCAAAGTCAACGCAAAGCCCCGAAGGATGACATCGCCAAAGACAGAATCGTATTCCCAGGACCAGCCTTCAAAATGAAGATGTCAGGCTTAACTGATCTCTTTCCAAAACGTTTTATGGCACAAGATTTGTAATCGTGACTCGCACACTAAAAGCTGTCCCCTCCCGGCATGCGACTCGTGCAGTCTACACGCTGCTGTGGCGTTAAAGGGAAACCTTTGAAACCACCTTCCCAGCCTGGCCATGCTACGGTGCAAATGTGCTCAGAGGAGAATTTAAAGGTCGGGGAGTCTGTGTATCCACCTTCCTGTGGGAACTGCTGTAGGACACGGGATCAAACAGTACTCTCACTGTGGTGTCAACATACACGCCATCAAAACATGGATGCAAGGTATGTACCGTACGTCCGCGTGCTTTCGCGGCCACGTTGTCATGTCAGACTGGATTTGAGGATGTGTGAGCTAGAACATAACTCTGAGCAGGCCTGTGGGCGGGCGAGGGCTGTGAGGCACAGGAATGTGTCACAAACACCATGGGCGACAGGTGTTGTGTCAGGGTCCCTGTGGATGAGGCTCGGAAGCCCTAACTGTGGTTTCAGCCCCGGCAGCAAGCCCAGGCACCCACCTGTGACCACTCAGACGCCTCCCAGATGGACAGGCAGTCTTGGCCTTCGCAGCTCTGCACTGGCGCTGGCCGGGGGCCCGGGCAGTACAGGGGCCTCGTGGCGACGTGGGTGCCGTTCTGTAGTTGGTACACGCAGGTCACCTCCCGGTGCTGGAAGCCCTTCTCACAGGTCGCCGAGCAGGGGCTCCACGGGCCTGCCACCCACCTGCCAGAAGGGAGGAGAGACAGAGAGAGAATGAATGGGGCGAGAGGCCAGCCTCCCCGGAGGGCCTTCCAGATGGATCATGGCATCCAGGGCAGGAGAGAGGGAGGCAGACTCAGGGAGCTCCATAATCAACTTTGCAAATAATTCTGGAACATCAGAGCAGAGGGGCTGAGCTGAGTGGTCATCTGGCTCAACAGCCACCTCAGCACATTCTTTCTGCTCACAGCACCCTACGGCAGATGGAGGTATCTGGTCACTTCCCTGCCAGGAGTGGCATTACACATCCCTCCTGTTGTCACAGGACATGTTTCGTGCAACGGGGTGTGAGGGGACAGTGCTGCTGGCCACGTCCTGGCAGAAGCTCTGAATGCGGCTACGCGGTTTGGCACTGATCCTTTCCTTCTTGCCCTCTGCCAGGAGAACAGCGGGTCCCAATACGGCCTGTGCTCTGCAACAACACGTCGTGACACTCTTGTGTGACACCGAGATGTCGCCTACTTGGTCCCTGGCTGAGCCAGCCAGCTTTGCCCTCTCTTGTCCTGTCTCCAACAGTCCTAGTTCCTAGGAGCTCACCCCTTGACAAGGCCTTAACCCCTGGAGGGCCGGGTCTGACAGCCATTCAGCTCTTCCTCATTAGTCAAAACAGTCCTGAATTCACTTGAAACCAAACCTGACCAGGCTGAGCTGTCCCGTTGTTCAGGAACGTCTGTGGCACTTCTCCTCCTGCAGGGCACGTTGAGTGGGCACCGGCTGGTGCCAGCACCTGTTGCTGTCCAGTTCCGGCTGACCTGCTCAGCCTTCCACCCACGCACTGCACGTTTATGCAGGGCCTCCCTCGTGCCTAGGCACGGTCCAGGTTCTGATGACGAGTCAGTGACTGAAACAAAGTCCCTGCCCTCGGGAGCTTACATTCTCATGAGGACAGGCAGTAAACCAGTGAACAAATGTAATACAACGTAACACAGCACACGTAACATAATGCACTACCTGTGAATAGAGACTACGCCATATGTTCACAAGTGCTTTAGCGAAAAGTCCAGCAGCATTAGGCAGAACAGGGTCAAGGTGGGTGGGGTGAGCGCTGTTTTACACAGGGTAGCGAGGGAGGCCTCGCTGGTAAGCTGACATCTGAGCAGAGCCTGGGAGGAAGGGAGCCACGGCCATCTGGAGAAAGACTTCCAGGCAGAGGCCATGGCGGGTGCAAAGGCCCTGGTGGAGCAGCGACAAGGAGTCCAGTGCAGCTGGGGGAGGGAGGGAGCAGGGGAGTGAGGGGAGAAGGTGGGATCTGGGAGGCAGAAGGGTGAGACACCTGGGCCCTGGCCAGCCCCTGTGGCTTTTGTTGGAATAGATGGTGTCCCGGAAGGTTTTGAGAGAGGAGTGACATGCTCCTTTGGCTCTGAGAGGGCCACTCTGGCTCTGTGTGGATACCAGTTTATAGTGGGCAAGAGTGGTGGCGGCAAGACCAGGGAGGGGACTCCTGCAAGGGTCCAGGAGAAACTTGGCAGTGGCTTGAAGCAGCTGGGTGTGGTGCAGGTGTCTCTAGGATTGAGAAGGACGGAGCTGCCTGGCTCTGCCCCTTCACCCCATGCTGGTCCTCCTGGTCCCGGGCCACCTCCTCTGCAACTAATTTCCGATCCCCTAGGCAGACTCATTCCTCTGTCCTCGGGCTCCAGGGGCCTCGCTTGAGTGATGCTCTTCTTCTTGGACCAACTGCTGTGCAGGGATGGGAATGGTGATGCCTCCTTGGGGAGCAGTTGTGAGGACAAGCAGCGTATTGCCAGTAAATTGCTTACAACATTGTCTGGCACATGTAAGCCCATATGACTTTTAGCTATTATTGCAGTTATCGTCTATTTGGTAGGAGATGACGAACTCCCAGACGGTAGTGCGTGAGTCTCTCATTTCAGCAACTGGTATTTGTGCAAACAACACTAAGAGAATTGAAGTAAATTTTACACATTGTTTCTTAGCTCTGTCTTTGGAGTAACCGAGATGCCTTCTTAAACATGTGAAATAGCTCTTCTTATTCCCCTTTAAGTCTTCTCTTCTCTTGATCAAAATAGTTGGCATATGGCAGATTTTCAGTTTCTCCCATTCTATTCCCTCATCAGTCTCTACTGTTCCTTGCAGTGGATGAAATGGCCCAGATGCGGTCTGGAGGCAGCAGGAATGAATGTGATAATTTTCTCTCTCTTTAAATGGAGAATCTATCTTCATTAACACTGCCCAACTTTGCACCCTTATTTCTACATTTTTAAGCAGCCAGATCATACCTTTGTTAGCTCTATTCCCTCCCCCCACCCGCCTTCTTTTTGTTTCTCATGAACTGACTCCCAGCCTGATCTCCTCTGTCCTGCCCTTTTGCAATTGACTTTGTGAATATAAATGTCAGGCTTTGGGGTGAGACCTGTTCGTGGCTATTATGCCGATCTCAATTGTGAAAACAGCTTTGAATCTGCTCCTGTCTTTTGTATTTGCTGAGCCTGAGAAGTAGGACCCCAAGGTCATGCTCGTGGGAACGTCACCTGCCTGGAAGTGCATGCCATGGCCACAGGACGCGTCTCTGTTCCTGGGCACACAACCAGGGCATGTCTGGTGAACCTGGGTGGTGACTGTGGTCCACACAGAGGTCACACCTAGGACACATGGGGTGGAGGGCGGTGTGGGAGAAGGGCCAGGAGAGGCTCTGCAGTCCTGAAGGGCACGTGTCTATACCTCCTGCTCCATCACTGACTTAAAAAGTCAGCTCTGCAGGAAAGAGAGTCAAGAGGAATGTGAAAAAACAATTTCATTCAGAAGGTTTTGTATATTTGAGAGGCTTCGCACAAAAATGATTTCTCAATTTGAGCAATTTGGAGAAACTGACTAGGGAGGGGTGCTGTCTTCACGGGTGAGGCTCCCGCAGAGCTGCGAGGGATGGCCTTCCAGACTCTTCTCTCCTTTGCCTCTGCTGGCAGAATGGAAAACAGCCCATGCACCTCTCCTTCCTGCCATCCGACCCTTTCCAGAAGCATCCTCATGACCTCCCTCCTTGCTGCTGCCCAGGGCCTAGCGGAGGGATGGATGACACAACCCCTGGCACAGGTGGATGCGGATGGAGCCGTGTCTGACCGCTCTGCTCCCAAGCCAGGGGGCTCCGCCATTCACCCCTCTCCCGAGGCTGTGGAAAGGGGGTACCTCCACTACTCCCTCAGAGTTCCATGGTCATTGACAGATGTACTGATGAGCTTCTATTTCCCAGGAGTGCCTGGGATTCGAACAAGCTCTACCTGCCACCACAGCAGCCTCCTGAATCTACCACGTGGGGCTGTGAGTCTCTCGGCTGAGAAAGGAGCATGAAAGCATCGCAGCTGCAGGTCACACACCAGGCAGCTCGGGGCGCGTCCCTCACTTCACACCCCTCCTTCCTCCCGCAATTCCTGTGTCCCAGCTCTGCCCAGGGTTTCAGATGCACAGATGCAAGTGTGGCTCAGTCCCCAGGAGCCCGACACCTGGCCAGAGCAGCAGCAGGTGGCTCACTGCCAGGTGGAGGTGAGTGCAGGCCTCAGGGCCAGAGTCTGGGGGAGGTGATGTCGGAGCCGAGTCTCGGTCAGCAGCCTCAGCCAGGAATCAGCTAGGCCGTGGTACCTTGCTTGACTCAGTAGCTATTTGTCATTCTGACACTCGATAGATTTTTAAGAAAATGGCGATGGTAAGATACTTGCACGCCCACGTTCACAGCAGTATCATTCACAAGAGCCAAAAGGTCGAAGCAACCCAAGCGTCCACGGGAGGATAAATGTGCAAACAAAGCGTGGTAATGACCACAAGGGAATATTATTCAGTTGTCCAAAGGACCAAGATTCTGCCACATGCTACAACATGGGTGAACTTGAAAACATTATACTGAGTGAAATAAGCTGGTCGCAAAGGACAAATACCAGGTGGTTCCACTTCCATGAGGTCTCTGGAGTCATCAGACTCCTAGAGACAGGAAATAGGGTGGAGGGTGCCGGGGGCTGGGGGTTGGTGTTTCGTGGGTGCAGGGTTACAGTTTGGGAAGATGGAGAAGTTCTGTGGTTGGATGGCGGTGCCGGCTGCACAATGGGAACGCACTTAATGCGCTGAGCCGTCCACTTAAAAAGGGTTAAGACGGTAAATTTTATTTTTGTATATTTTACAATTAAAAAGAAAAAGATGATAGCGGTGGGTGTTTAGGGGCAGGTGGTAAACAGGGGGAAAAAGGCAAAGAACTGAAGCGTTTCCCAAGCCCCAGGCAGCCCAAGGCAAGACAAGGAAAGAGACCAGTTTTCAGCTTTGTGCCGACACCTGGTACCTGCGGAGCGTTCCTGCTCGGGGTGTGCAGGTCACGCGTGGCTGAGAGAAACCTTTCCACTCGAACACCCCTGGCCCCAGGAGCCCATCAACAACACCTGAACAGCATCACACAACTGAACGTTACCATGCAATCACACTGATTCCAAATCCAGTCATTCGGGAAAGGCACTGCAGTTCTGTAAAATCATTTATATTCCAATTACAACTAGAGCCCTATTTTTTTTTTACTCGTGACCCCTAAAAACTTTAACAGCAAAATTTATTAGCCAGGTTTGAGTTAGTAGGTCTTCTTAAAAGCCATGGAACTGTAATTCTTTAGCAAGCCACAGTTAACACGTCTCTAGTGCAGGTCACCTGTTCTCCGGTTCCTCTGAAGGAGTCAGATCAGACCCTGCTTCCTTCTTGGTCCGGCACAGACTCCATCTCTCTGCATGTACTTCACGTTAAATCGTTCCAATGAGATACTTCGAGTGGCTCAGTGACTATGAGACCCTTTATTCTTTTTAAATTGCCGCTGTAACAAATTACCATAAATTTAATGGTGCAAAACAACAGAGATTGATTCTCTTACAGCCCTGGGGTCAGAGGTCTGACACGCGTCTCACTGGTCCATGGTCAGGGTGTCAGGAGGGCCGACTCCCACTAGGGAGACTCCAGGGAAGAGCCTGTTTCCTCGTCTTCTC